ACTATCACGTATATCTAATACATCATCTGCATTCTTTTCGATATTATCACTGATTTCCATAATATTGACACCCGGATTTAACTCTACAGCACTATTAGATTGTACGTTGTGAACAAGAAAACGAGATATTTTTCGTGTATTTGGTGAAGTAAAATTTTTATTATCTTCGTCGTGCAATTTTAAATCAGTTTCTGCTAATTTTTGATCGTCGTTGGTACATTTATCTGTAAAAATATTTTCTGTTTGGGATGAACAGCCTCCATTATCTGGTACTTCATTAAGAATTAAATCGCTGTCATTAGTTATATCAAAACTTATTTTATGTTCAGGATATGGTACCGAAGGTGATGTGGTAATTGTGTTATCAGGAGTGCAATCTGACGACAATGATGTATATTCTGATGTACTGGTTTTTCTAGATACCGAAGTAGATTCATGTGTATCACTGTTATTTATATTATCGCAACCAGAAGAAGTATTTTTTTTCGCTGTTGTGTTATTATCTTCTATTGGAATATGCTTATTTATGTATTGAAGATCAACTTCATTCTTTGAATGTAAGCAACTTTCGGAGTTTGGTGATAAAGGTGAATTGATGGCAGGATTCGAAATCTTTTCTCCACATACCATAGTTTCCGTAATATTATAAGTTTTGACTGGTTGGATACTTTGCTAAATTTGAAAAGGGAAAAGATTTTAAGTTTCAATTGTTTTAACATTATATATATATATATAAAGATTTTTAACTAAATATAGTCTAAACTTATTGACAAAAATATACTATATTTATATAAAATATGTAGATCAAAAGTCATGCATCAATACCTTGCAGACGATTGAAACGCAACTTTTTTTAATATAAACATAAAATAAATAAATGTTAGGTCGAAATAATATACACATCATAAGAAATTGTAATGAAACCATTAAATGTGTCTACTATAAGCATCTCTCTGTGTAATTTCTCCACTCCCAGAGAATTTTTGTGTTTTTTGCCGCACATCAAATCAAATATACATTTAGAATTAGTAAAATAGAGTGAGAAAAATAAAAACTTAAAATTTATATTTTAATATGTTGAGAACACTATACGTTTTAGTGCTTTTGAACGCGAAATGAAGCGGCTTCATTATAATAAAGCGATATATATCTCTTATGAAATGGACACTGTAAAAACCTTTTCGCGGCCGTTGATAGTCGGAATAGTCACCATTAGTTTTACAAGAACTTTTATTATCCTTGCAACACAGAATATTAATTCTTGAAGTAAAGGAATTCATCAAAAAACTAGGTTTAATATATCTTTACTACATTAATCAAATGTTTTTTAAAATACCTATTTAAAAACTATAATAACATCTATTTAACATGCTTATTAGATATCTTGTGAAGGAAGAATGAATGACGCTACGTGTAAGTCTCGCCAATGGTATGAATGAGATCTATTTAATCGATATAGCACACCTCAGCAGCTAGCAATGAACTTTTGCAGCCACACAATTAATGATATACTACATAAGTTTTCTTATGTGCTATGAACCAAATGTGAGCCTTTTGATTCAGTGTATTTTGTGAAAGAATCACTCCAGACTACCTCTGCGATGTACTATATATGCGATGAACTATCTGTGTGGTTTGGTAATCGTCCTCGTTTTATTTTGAATTAATCGACTTAGTACTTATTTGGTAATTGGAACTTCTAATTTGCTTTTACGAATTTGTATCGTAATTTTCAAAACCTGAAGATAGTCCTAAATTTTATATGAAGAAAACAAAACTTCAGACAAAATTAAAAAGTTGTGATTTTTAAATCATTGACAGACAAATAAGCTAAACCCGAATTATAGCAAAAAATCTCGAATTTTTTCTGGTTTTGAATAAATGAAAACAAATTACTTTAAATATATATAAATGTACAATCGAGTTCGTGTTGAGTTATCAAATACTACTATTTTGCATTTCACCTCTACGGAAAATAGATAGCGTGTATATTAGTATATTAGACTTAGGGCAATGAAAAAAATTAATTTTACAGCAGAAAATCTGTAAATATTATCTTTTATTGATCATTAAAATCAACAAAGTCCGTGTTAGAAAAAAAAATTATTACTACTGTTAAAGTTGATCAGAAAAAGTTAGTATTCCTACCACTTGTGGCATCTACCAGTGTCGTAAAATTAGAATTGAATATAAATATACGGAAAGTTTTTAACGTGGAAAATGTTTCACGGAGTATTCGCAATGAAAGTTATTTTAACTTTAGCCACACATGTAATTCAAAGTATGTGCAACATTTTAACGTTGTCATTGACAATAAATAATAATACATTGCTATTAGAAATATGTTTTTTACACAAATAAGCTTACTATAATAACTATGTGACAAGTCATTGAGTGTTACAAAGACATGCAATGAGATTTGGTGTATCCTATTTTGAGTTCTATAGTGGTTGTGACTCTACAAAGGTAAAGGAAATATATGTCAGTAATTTTCTTAAACCAGTAGAATATCTGAAATTTTTAGGTACCTTTTCTAAATTTGAGATATAGATAAGTTTAAAAACTTTCACGTGAATTTTCTTTTGCACAAATGGGGAAACCCGTGATATCGCAACAGTATATTAATTTAATTAATGATTAGGTTAACCCAACCTAACCAGCATCTGTTATAGGTCGTACTGGTAAAGTATTCATTTGTTAATATATTGATTTCCGGTCATAGAGACATTATCTAGCCGATGGAGTACGAGGGTCCATATTTATATTTTGAGCCTAAAAATAAAAAATATTAACTTATCGTTGAAAATTGATTTTTTGTTTCTCGAAGTTTGTCCTTTAAGATTAATACATTTCTGCATGCGTTCGAACCATTTGTCAAAGCAATTTTTCGAATCTTCTTCAGACATTATCCAAAGTATAATTTTTAAATGCAACAACGGCTTCTTCCACTAACAAAAATCGTCGCAATAAATCCACGCAATTTATTCCTGACGTTCGGATATAAGAAGAAGTCATTGGGTACCAAATCAGGACTGCAAGACCATAGGGATAAACCATTAATTTGATTTTGAGAATGTTCCAATAGTCGGTTGTTAGACGAAATGTGTAAGCACTCGCATTGTGTTGATGTAGGTGGAGAATAATCCGACGGAAGACTTCCGCCAAACAAATGGTTGTACATAATGGTATAGTTGCCACATTATCAGTTTTAGCAAAAAAACATGTGACCGTTTGTTTCCAAAACTTTTGTTGGATTTGGTTCATCTTGAAACACTCATACAGTCGACTGCTGTTATCGTTTCGGCTCATATGCATGTATCTATGATTCGTCACCTGTTACATTCTTCTATACGTCTTATGAAGCACTGTCATTGAGTATTTGTGTGCCCCAATTGACACGAGCATCGTTTTAAGATTTTGTCAAATGATTGTCAAATTTCTCACGTCTAAATGATCGTACAATATTATATATATGCTGGTAGAACTAATGCCTAGTTGAACTAATTCCCTCAATCTCACAGTATGTTGCATGCCGATCTTGCATTATCAGTTTTTGCACAGCATCAATGATTTCTGGCACAACTGATTTTGGACAACTTTCACGAATTTCAACGTTCGTGGCGAACTGTGGCCATTATTAAAATGATTGTACAAGCGTTTCACAGTGGTTAAGGATGGAGCTTTTTCGCGAAATGTGGAAGTAAGTTGATCGAAAGTCGTAATAAATCATCGCACGAAAGTTTTCTCGCGCTAGTTCCATTTTTTCGTGTACATACAATTTACAAATCATTGTAAATAAGACAAATATCGCTCTTTTGACAAACAGTCTAAGGTAGATTATGTTTAATAATGTCAAATTTTAGTATGGAAACGTTAAAATATAAATAGTAATCATCGTATTGGCACATGACTCATCAACAACTTTAGGTATGGGTATTTGTTTAGCATTAGTAAAACTGGCTGTACAAATCGAACACTAAATAATAAACTAAAAATGGTATAAAGAACATGCTTGTGAACCCACATATGACATGGCTTGCCCACAATCACATAACAACAACCAAATTGAAAAAATTGGTGGTACAGATCGATATCGGTATTCCTACTTATTGGGCAGTGCCATATTAAAATACAATTGTATTGGACAACAAGAATCGATCTGCACCACCAATCTTTTCAATGTGGTTTGTAATATACATCTTGATTTATAATATATTACTCATAGTTTCGACTTAACACTAATATATAAAATATTGTATTGTGTAGCATATATTTCACAATATTTCGTTAAATAAATTTTTATACAATTTAATACAATTAAATGTTTGTATTTAAAATGATTCATTTATAATTTGGCGTCTATATTTTAGCGTTTATATAACATACTAAGCAAAACATTCCAGTTTCAATTATTTAAAGAATCCTTTTTGACTACGAAAATAAAATAAGCAAAATGCAAATGCCATACAAAACGTACACAATATAAATGTGTATGCCCGCAGCTACGTACAATCGTGTAGAGTCGTAAGCATAGTTAATATGAATGTATTTATATAAAGCGTCAAATGAAATAATTGTTTCTACCCAGATTATAGTAGAGTTACATAACCGGCAATCACTCTGTCCGTATTTTTTCAGAGATTACGCAAATAACTTTTATTTTCTTTTTCTGAAATTACTTCATCATGAAGAGTTGTTATATAGAGGCAACCAATTTTAATATATATCGGATATGCTGGTGTGGCATTTTGCAGAAAAAAATTTTAATATGATCAAATCATGCCGTGTTTTCATGCCCTTATACCTAGAACAACCCTAAATCTGCACTACATAATACATAATAGATCTTGAAATACATAAAATCATAAGTTTTGCACTCGAATTTTTTTTCCTTACTAGTTTTTTTTAATTATTGCTTATGGCAGTTTCTAAATCTCTGAGTTTTCGTCCAAGCGGGTACATCGACACTGTCTCGCATTATTGTTAGTAAAAAGAAGGCTTATTTAACATAGTGAAAATGATTCGATTTAGGTCCAATATACACTGTTTTGTTCGATAACTTGTTGCCATTTTGAAGGTAGTTTCATTTTGCCTCTCTCATAGAAGTTCTCATCTCTATTGGCAAAAAATTAAGACAGCCGATTTTCATAAACCTCTTTTGCAAATAAGATCTTCCTAACCAAACTCCCGGAGCTTTTGGCGAGTCATTATCGATGTGTGATGTGTATGGCCTGGCGTTGTCCTGATGGAACACAATTCCTCTCCTATTGCCCAAAGGTGATCGTTTCTAGGCGATTGCTTAATTCAGACGGGCCAATTGTTGACCGTACGAGTACAGTTCTGAATTAAGAGTTTTGCTAAAGGGAAGCAGCTCATTCTGTAGTAGTTAAATCCCTGACAATTTTCCCAAACATACAGCAAAACAGAATCTTCATGGCCGTCAATTCTGGCTTGGACACCGACTCAGCCTGCTCACCTCGATTCGACTACGACCGTTTTCGCATGTTATTGTCGTAAGTAATCCGTCACCACTTCACATCACCAGTCACCAACTGCTTCAGAAATGAATCGATTTTGTTGCGATTCAGTAAAAATTTGCAGATCGAGATTCAGTCTAAGAGGTTTTTTGCGTTAACTCGTGTAGGATCCATACGAATTTCTTCTTGTATCTAGCCTCATTCAAATGGTTCGAAACGGTTGTTTGTGTAATCTTTAGCTATTGGCCATCAATACAAACAGTGCTTACATGTGGGATTGGTCGGACTCGACATCATTGCATTGGTTTCTAATATCGGATTGTAATTCTCTAAAAGATAATTTTAGTTTTACATATTTCCTTATTGTTTTTAATTTCGTCGTTGTCGATTATTTTTTTTTTAATTACCGTTTTTAAAATTCGCCTTTTCTGATTATTTTCATTTTTTATTATCACTGTGCCCCTACTTCTTGACTGAATGTTGGTATTATTTAGGTTAATAAAGTCCACCTTTTTTTTAAATCTTTTCTTGTTGTAGTGTCGTCTTTCTTACATTTAGGTTTAATTATCAGTGGAATTACTTCTTTCATAGTAATACTTGTTTTTTATTGGGTCGGAACAGGATATCCAGGATATATTTTTCACTGCCTGGAATTGCTGTTTAATTCTTATCTCATTTTGCTTTAGTGAGGAACTTTTCTTCCTATCCAAGACATAACTTTATATTATTTAGCTTCCAAAAAAGAATTTAAATACAATTTTTATTCGCAGAAGATATTTTTGGAAATTATTATTATTATTTATTATTAATTATTACCTACAATATATAAATATAGTATAAATATGTAGTGCTGTGTTACTTTGCAGATATAGGAAATATTGTTTACAGCGGTTTAAATATAATAAAAACGTGTTTTTCATATATTATAGTATATTAACTACAAAATAAATAAATAATAGACATGAGTAAAAAAATAATTTACCTCTTCAGCGTCCTGGACTAAGTTTTTTGAAGTGTGAAGAAAATTTGGATCCAACTTTACTTGCTGAATTATATCATTTATTAACTCAACAAAAATACTGCATTGACATTGCGATAGTAGACTTTGAGTGACCTACAATAATACAAAAATATAACATTAACTGTGATCATTGGGTTTGGAAATGTCCTGAAATATTAGAATAAGAAGTTAAGTACCAACTTTAGTATTTTATATAAAATGTCTGTTTAGTAAAGGGAGAAATGTCTCCCTAAATCAAAGCAAGATATTGTAAAAGCATAACAAAGCCTAAACAACAAGATAAACCCGGAAAATTTGAAATTGGCTAATATCCATGAAAAAAAAAACAACGGCACCATTGTTATCGAAGCAGAAAGTAATTCCGAGCGTGAAAAAATAAAACGTGCAGTAGAAGGTGCTATAAGCAAGAAGTATAAAGTAAAAGTCCCAAACACTATTAAGCCACGGTTTACTGTCTCTATCTCTAGAATCAGCTTTAAATGCAATGAGCAAGAAATGATAGAAAATTCACGAAAGCAAAACCAGTGTCTCTCCGATTGTAAACTAAAATCAGCAAAAATAAACGAAATAAAGTGAGATGGCAAAGTATTCTACAACTCAATTTTTGAAACGGACTCGAACATATTTACAAGAACTATGGAAGCAGAAAAGATAAATATTAGCTGGGAAAAGTGTATAATTTACTGTGCAACTGACTTAATGATCTGTTACAAGTGCCAGGGCTTCATCTATAGAGCGCCTTATTGTAGGTACGAAGAATATTGTCGTAAATGTCACCAAAGACACCGAACTTGAGATTGATGAGTCGGTTAACAAGTGTATAAATTGTATACGTGCAAACGAGAAGCTAGGCTTGGGTCTTGACGAAAATCATTCAGTGCTTGAGACAAACCTCTCCGCGTATTTAAAAACACTTGAGCAGAAGAAAAAGAAAATTGAATACTAGCCTTGCCAAAAATATTGTGATTCATCATCAACCAAACAAGAAAAATAAAACAAGGCTGAAAAAGCGGAAATGTGATATAATTTTGGGAGCATGGAACGTACGTACTCTGCTGAGAGCAGGAGTACTGCAAGAAACAATTACGCAAATGTAAAAGTACAATGTTGGCGTGCTGCTGTTCGCATGTCGGCTTCAAACTAATAAATGTTAGAATTTGTGTAATCTCCTTGAAAGGAATGTTTGACAAACTTACGCTGATAAGTGCCTATGCTCCAGCAAAACATGCTGGTGATATCGTTAAAGAGACATTTTACGCAAACTTAGACAATACACTGAGTAAAATTACAACACATGGTACAAAGGTATTACTTGGAGACTTCAATGCCAAAATTGGAAGAGAGCAATGCAACCTTACCGTAGCCGGTTTACACTTACTACACGCCGTGTCATCAGACAATGGCAAACGGTTATGTCAGCGTGCAACTGGCTCCGGTATGTACATTAGCAGCACACATTTTCTACACAAAAATACATACAACGACACATGACAGCTCCCAGATTCAATAACAGTCAACCAAATTGATCATATTCTTATTGACTATATTAAAAAAATTGTTTATTCTTGATGTTCGTCGCAGAAGAAGCGCGAATGTTGATAGCGGTCATGTTCTAGTAGAGTAGGTTAGAAGAGTAGGTTAACGTTAACAAGTTATATGACAGCAAAGCGGTTCAACAATATAAGCATAAAAAAACGAATCTCTTGGACGTATCACAAACCATCCCAATATAAACGAGCACTGGAAAATATTTGCAAATTTTATCACAAAAGTAGCAGAAGAAATTATTGGCGTGAGGAGAAATCGCAGCAGCATTGGAAACTAAGATCGAAACGCAAAAAATTTTTTCAACAACATCAAACAAAGGGTTTCCTAGTGCTACTCAACATGTGTAAAGACAAAGACGGGGAACTATTAGTAGAAAAAGAGGACGGTATCAAAAGATGGCAAGAACATTTTTAAGAACTCTTCAACGTTGGTATAGAAAGTAATTACCTATCATTGATAGACTTAGCTCCAAGTGCAGAACAAGAACCAGAACCCACACTAAAAGAATTTACACAAGCCATTAAGCAATTGAAAAACGGGAAAGTACCTTGTAAAGATAGTACATCAACAGACCTTATAAATCAGTGCGGAAAAAACGTGGTGTAGTAGTGCCGCTATACAAGAAAGGCGACAAACTAGATTGCAATAATTACCGAGGCATCACACTACTATGTACATGTTACAAGATATTTACATGCATATTAAACAAGCGACTAAAGAACGCAGCGGAGAAAATCTTAATCATCAAAATAACTAATTATCAAAGTAACTTTAGACCGAATCGTTTCACGACCAACCAAACATTTCTCCTTAAACAGAATCTGGAAAAACGTTATGAGTTCAACACACTAGTGCATATTCTCTTCATTGACTTCAGACAAGCATTTAACAGTATTGATAGAAAAATGATCCAGGAAGCCCTACGGTCACTCGGGATCAATCCGAAGCTCATAAAATTGGTAACGGTTACACTGCGCGACACGAATGGAAAAGTGATGGTGCAAGACAGTCTAACAGATGCTTTTGAAAATAAAAGTGAAGTGAAACAAGGTGATTCGCTTTTAACCACCATTTTCAACCTACATCTTCACGATGCCATTAAGTGGCTAGTGGTAACAGGAAACATATTCAACATAACATCACTGACCATTGCCTACGTAGATGACACAATGATCACTATACTACATGAAAGAAAAGTTCGCCGACTTATAACTCAGAATAAAGGTAATAACGAGAAGAAAACAAAATACATGAGGGTTGGAAGAAACACGCACAGCCGTATTTTCAAATCCATTCAAGTCGATGTTTTGACTTTTGAAAAAGTTAAAAGCGCTTAATACCTGGGTGTCCTCATTAATAGCAACAACGACATCAGTGTTTGTATTCAAGACAGAATTGTGGCAGCAAACAGTAGTTATTACGGACACTCGAGAATCTTTAAATCTAAAATCGTGACCAGAAGCACCAAACAACACGTTTACAAGGCAATCCTCCGCCGAGTATTATATTACGGGGCCGAAATTTGGACTTAAGCGACAGCAGATGAAAATCAAATCAGAGCTTCCGAAAGGAAGGTGTTGAGAAAGATTTATGGTCACATGAACCACAAAGAATTTTGTCGGTGCACGAAAGCAGAGTTACTACAACTTTGAAACGGTAAAGATGCTGTAAATTTTGCAAAGTCGCAGGGCTTGAGATGGATCGGACACGTCATTTTAAGCCCTACAACGACCGTAGCAGAGGAAGGCCACGTATAAGATGACTCGACAACTTGATTGACTACATCAGAATAATGGGTATAATGGGTATGGTATTGGAGGTCTAAAACAACATGCAAAGCAGAATGGAGAAAGCTGATTGATGCAGCTAAAGCTCGCCCCGAGCTGAAACGCTGATGATGATAAATTTAATAGTTTGTTTAAATAGTTAAACAAAAAAAAAATAGTGATTGATAAATTCCCATTTACAAAACTAGAAAATGTCTTAGATAAATTAAATAAAGCTAGAGCTGAAAATATACGACGGTTGCCTTTTAAGTCTTGCGCCTAACAATGAAAATATAGTTTTGCCAATCTGTAGTTGGTATCTTCAAAACCAGGATTTTGAATGTCTTAACGGACTGTTCAGGTGTAGAAAAATGCTTGCCACTCATTTTTTTCCTAATGTTTGGGAATAGAAATAAGTCACAGTTCGACGTTTTGAGTGCCTAAAATCTCTTTTATTTGAGATGATGTGTTTAAGCTTGCATTGTCGTGGTAAAGGATGACCCAAAATTGAATGTATACTGATCCCAATACTCACGAACGCCTCTTTCTGCTGGTATATAACATGCCGATCCATCTCAACACAACAACTGAAAGAAAACGACGACTACGCTCGAACTCATTGAACCAGCGTTTTACAGTCGCTGGATGTAGTATCTCATCACCAAATGTCGAACTTAATTGATTGATACATTCTTTTCTAGTTAATCCGCGTCAAAAATCATGAAAAATCATCGCACGAAAATGTTCATTATAAAATTTTATTTTTTCGCAGAGACACAATTTAAAATCGATGTATACAACACAATAAGCGCGTGTAAACTAAAGCATTGTAATAAAATTTATGCTAGAATATGTCAAACTTGACCAAAAAAATTGGTATACAAATTCTAACTAATAAAAGGAATACCACATATACTATTATAAACGAATTACAAATAAGAAACAACACTATACATATGTATATAAACCAAAAATAAACTATTAAAACAATTATGTTGATAACTAGTTTAATTGCTAGATTACCACTGTCAATTGGTAATTGGTTAAAGTGCAATTGGTGACTTCAATGAGAAATATATCTATGTTATAAAGCATGTAATTATGGAGGGTAGGCAGCAGTTCGGACTGGAACCGAAATCTAGATAGCACATTTTAAAGGCCCTAAAACTAGCTTAAACTCACCGGTATAAGAAGCAATAATATCAAGAGATCCTGAACAACTATCAAGACTATAGTATTTCTTACAATACTGCTCTATATTAACGCATGTTTTCTCTTAATTTTTACGCTGACTAATTTAGATCAGACCAAGTATTGTGCAAACCTCTTAGTTTGGAAATATCAAAATTACAATATGAACGTTGAAATTCATAAAATGTAAATATGAATTATTTTAATTTAAACATTTAATATGTCCCGGCCCTACATAAAATTTGTGAAAAATTAAAAGTATGAAAAATGTAAGCAATTCTGGCACACATATGTGTTCTAGAAATATTTTTATTTTGAAATGTGATATTTACAATAGTTTTCAATAGCACGACATTAAGAGATAATAAATACATTTGTACAGATATACACAAAATATGCTCGTTCGGGTCAGAGCAGGTAACAAATATACAGCATCTATAACGAATTTATTGGGTATTTGTCACTAAAGTGCCTGTAAAGGTAAACCCGGTAGGCAGTAAGGAACCTTCACAACTAACATTAGATACATAATTACTTAATTTTCCCCCTAGGATGTATACTTAAGCATAGCACAGTCACATCAAATAGTCACTACACGATGACCACTCGTTTAAAATACTCTCACATCAGTTTTATCTGAGCGTATTTGAGATGGAAATAATTTTAAATTACTTGAAATGAAGTTTTAACATCATTTATCTGTCCCAATCATTGTGAATTCAAGACAAACTAATGGTGCTCAAAGATAATTATTTCGGCTGTTTTAAGCCGGGCTAAATATAGTAATATGGCAACAACCGAAATTTAGCAAGCACTGTAAATACACTTGTTTATTGTTTATGTCATACGGTAGATCGAATTTGATTGACTTTTGCCCAAAGTTCATAATTATTAATGTAAGACTCCTACATTGACGAATAATGGTAAGTTTTTTAAATATAAAAAAAAACTTAAAAATGTTAAATTTTAAATATATACTATATTATTATTTTTATAAATGCAACATTACCAATTTGTTAGCAATATCCATTGGATTAACGTCGCAAATATCAAACTTAAAAGTAATCGTATTCGGTTTATTTTCCATTTGACAATTTATAACTGTTGCATTTTCTATTCCAGTAATAGTAAGTTTCGGAACACGTTCAGACCCATTACGATACATTCGCCGATGTTTTGGAAGTCGTGAACTTTGGCCATCATCCGTTGAAATATCCGAAACTTTATTCAAATCATTAGGATATATGGTACTTGTTTCTAAACACTGTGGTGCAGTCGTCTTGTTAATATTTAATGTCATGGCAGACAATTTATCCTGTACAGTTTCTTGATGATATGCAACTTCAGGATTATGTTGGATAGATGCTTGAGCAATATGTGATAAAAAGCTATTATCCTGTAATACTTGCAATGAACTTTCATCGCCTTGTTGGTTTTTGTTGTCACCATTAACTGTTGATAAATTTTGTGAATTTGTAAGTTTATTTATGTATAATAGTGATTGATGATCATTGTTTGGCACCTGAAATGGGTGTTTATTAGCAGAGTCATAAAAATGAACTGATTTTTCCAAATTAATATCCATATTTTCCTTTAAATCTAATTGATGTTGATTATGTGTGTCATTTGAACATTTTTCAGGCTGTTGTAATTGAGTTTGAATGTTTGCATTACTTTGCAAAATATTTGGTAAAGTTTCAAAAGAATCCTGATTTAATATTTGATTATGTATCTGCTGTTTTTCATCGGGCAAATTTTGTTCACTATTTGAAATGATAATATCATTTTGAATTTCATTAAGAATAATTTCTGCACTAGTACTTTTATTAATATTTGTAACAGACTTTGTTTTAACATCACTTTCTTTAGATTCAGTTAACTCCATCTTTGAAACCCATTTCAAATCATCGTCATCTTCTTCTGAATCTGCTTCGTCTTCATCTTCTTCCGGTAAGAGCATTTCCCGTTGTTTCTGTAAGGCTAATTTTTCTAAACGTGATTTTTCGTTTTGAAGTTGTAATTGTGTTTGTCGTTGCAGTCTTTCCCTTATTAATGAAAATACTTGTACTTTTAAAAGACGAATCACTGATCTCGTGTCTTCTTCGTTAATAATATTTTCTTTAGTCATGTCATGACAAATTTGTTCACAATCATCCTTTTTTATATCATATTCAAATTGAATAGCTTCATTTTCTTTGTGTTTAGAAGAACGTTTTTTCGGATCAAGGAAACGAAGTCTAAATTCTATAATATTATTTACCGAGTTATTTAAAAAAGCTTCAGTAGCTGTTGGTTCAACACGAATTCCAATATCTTCTTCAAAAAATTCAGAATTAAGTAAATCTTTACAGCTAGGGCGATCTTCTTTCTTAAGCTCAATACATTTTTCGATAATTTCTCGTACTTTGGGATCTTCAACTTTTGCGAGAGCTGCGGGTTTTATTCCTGATATTACTTTTTTATAAATTTGTGCTGGTCCTTTGCACTCACTATAAGGATATTCCGATACTGCCATCTCTAACATGCACATCCCAAATGCGTAAACATCAACCGACTCATCATAATGTTCTTCATACATTTCAGGTGCCATAAATTCTGGAGTACCGATAACGGATTTTGCATGCGATCGATTTTTTAAAGTTGCAAGGCCTAAATCACCAATTTTAACACTTCCCGTTGTACCGGTAATGAATATATTATCACATTTTAGATCACGATGAATGATAGGCAGAGGTCGTGTATGTAAAAAATGTAAGCCTTTCAATATTTGACGACACCATGACTTTAACACTTTGGGATTTATTTTCTTAAAGCGCTTCAAATACCTATAAAAAAATAGTAAGAAAAATTTTAATAAAGAATACAGTTAACTTACGACTTTAAAGTTCCCGACAGCATTAACTCAGTTACCAAAACAATATTTTTTTTCCGAGAAATTGTGAACTCCCAATAAGTATAAAATCGCACTATATTTGGATGTTGCAATTTTTTAAGCATGTCTGCCTCTTCTCGAAAACGAGTTCGTTCACTTTTTTTTACTTGTTTATCCTGAAAATAAATTGTTACCAAAAATAAAATATTTTAATATTTTTTTTTTTTAAATTTTAAAAATTTTTAAGATACGATTAAATGAACTATAATTAACGACTCTGTCTTTCTACTGTGTCCTAAAATAAAGATGTTCAGACCACTTTAAGAAATTTTTACCAATAGATACTCCATAGGCTTGTCTATAAGAAAACTAAAAACGACATACCGAAGTTTTTGGTAATTTATGTGATTCAAATGTAATTGACAAAGTTTAAATTATATTTTGGAATGCAGACTTGGATGTATTAATGAATGTACAATTTTGTTATGATCGTTTATTTAATTTTTTTTTTTCAGAATAAAAACGATAAATTTAAGTTATAATAATATAATAACCGATCTGTTTTTTTTCGACTAACCTAAATAGTTTGTAATTCTAACAGTTAACAGGAAATAATATCCGTTCGTATAAATTTTAACTGAAGGGTCTCTGATGAATTTTAAGTTTTTTTCATTTGAGACTGATTGCTTTTTATTATGTTTCATTAATTAATTAAAGGGAAAAGTTAGTCATCAAAATTTCAAAATTGATAATATTTACATTTTTTTAACTATTAAACTTGTTCTAATTAAAAAGCACGATAAATACTATTGCTACAAGCAATATTTTTTGTTTTATTTTTACTAAAATTTTTTGAAGTGTATCAAAAACGATTCGCTTATACAATTCGCCAGCAGATTATCAAAATAATTAGTGGTGCACTGCTATAACGATACGCTGGAAAAGTAAGAATATCAAATAAAATTGAAGTCGAAATATTCCAACGTTTTGAGAACAAGATTCTGCGGAACATTTTAAAAACGCCATTAGGAACAGCGATATATACCACGATTTAAAATTGTTCAGTCGCTTAAAAAATAAAAAAGAAAGCAACATATCATGTTCGTCTCATTAATTGGTCACGTATAATGACATAAAACTTATTTGTGTAAGTTAATTTTTAAAAAAATTTGTGATTAACGCGATTAATGCCTTTGAATTTCAGTAATAATTAAATTGACGTATTAGCTCATACAAAACATTAAAATGTAATTATTTAATTTTATTTGTACTTTAATTAAGCTATGCATATATATCAAATAAAAAATATTAACGTCCAAATTAACATAGATGTACATGTATAAATATATATAATGGGTATATTCGTGTCATTTGTAATATTACATAAATTAATTAGTAGAATGTTTTTATATTAGAAATATAAAACGGATTTTTTGTAATATTAAGGATTTGACTTACCAAAAGTTCACACCAAGCGACTGCTACTCCAGTTTCGGTATCTAGGCCACGATATACGGTCTTAAATGATCCTCTACCAACTTCCTTATCGTATTTAAAGAAACGACCACAAGGAGACATTGCTATAGGTTCGTCATCATCATCTTTTGATGAAGCAATTTTTATTGTACTTGTTACAGTACTACCTACTTGAATGGGAGTAGCTGTACCTTTACTTTCAGTACTCGAGTGTACGCCCGATTGATTTAAAGGTTTTTCTTCTGAATCGCTGTAAAATGATTTTGCATTTTCTTTCTCCACTGTACTTACTTCAGAAAATTTTTCATCTAATTTTTCTTCCACTTTAAATCCGATATGTTTAGAATTTAAACAGGAAGTAGATTTCTGATCAATGTTATTAAAGTTAATGTAATCATCGTTAGCTTTATTATGTATTACTTGCAATTTTACTTCAGTTGTACTTGTGCGTGTTGGGGTACAAAATTGTTTTTCTAAATGTTCAGCCTCTCTTGATAGCATTTCAATATTATCATCATAATCTCTAGGAAATTCTGTTTCAAATTCCATGTAATTAGAATTGATGTTCTTAATAGATTGTTCAACATTTTTGCGGATGAAACGCATATTTGGATTAAACTTTTCAACAGCTTTACATGTAGTGGCAGTAGGCATTTGCACTACTGAGGGTGATTTAAATATGACAGGTTCTGATAATACGTTCATGTTCTCCTGGTTCATGTTTTGCGTATATTGCTTAGACGACTTTTCTTTACTGTCTTCGAAAGAAACCGTTCCAACACGACGAGTTGTAGTAGGTGCCTGAGGTGAATCAATCACTTTTTTCATGGTTTCCATTTTTGATAAGACGTTATTTATTGTAAATTTAAAAACATTTCTTTCATGAAGCTTACTTTTAGGTACAATTTTATAGCGTATATTTAAATTATAATCTTCAATCTTCAAATAATTTACATTTTGTTTATTTAATTTTGTCTTTGTTTTCTTACTACTTGTTTTAGTTACTAATATGTTTTGACATCCGCTATTTTGTAGCTCATTTTTCCTTAGTTTTCTGTTAGAAAGTTCAATATATATATATGTTCTAATAAAGTGTTCAAAGTCAAAATAACAGTAACTAAAAAGGTCACATTCCATTAATATAGTATGGAAGTTGAACTCATTTTGTTTTCTTGAAATGTATTTGTTACTTGCGCCAGATTTTCTTTTAGTTCCATTTGAAAATTGTATTATAACTCTGTATAATATATTGGGTTTAATAATGCACACGTTTTCTTCTGATCCAAAACGAGTTAATTCCTTTTGCGTGTATTCAGTTTTAAACTTCTTTTTAGTTTGGTGTTTTAGATTATGGTAAAAGAATGATGTATTCGTTTGATCACCTATTTTTATTTTAAATAATTTATTCAGCTGAAATGTTTTTTTTTGTAAGCTTGTAACGTTTCCAAGGGAAAATTTAGAAAAGCAGTTATTGTTATGCTCATTGCATGCGGGGTGCCTGAAATAAAAAAAATAAACAATATCATTTTATGAATATTTTAGTACAAAAGACATATTACAATACAACAATCTTCACGAAAATTTTTAAATACAGGATCTCTGAAGACGATTGCAAAAAAATTCGCACCGATCTAGCTGTCAAACCAATAATGACAGAAAGCTTAAAATTTATTCATTTGACAGTTCGTGGTCTTGTTTATAAGCGTACGAGGGCATTTTGATTTTTGTGTTGTTGAAAAGAAGTTGTATGTGATGAAGTTCAAAAGTGATAATGTGATTGTTTTATATTTGTCTGCACAAACACAAGTGGTTATCGTTCGAGCCCTCCAACACCTAAATGTGAACAAATTATTTGTGTCTCGTACCATAGCTCAATACTGTGATACTGGTAGCATTACCCGAGGTTCAGAAAGTAAACAAAAAAAAAACCAGTAACAACATCAGAAATGATTCGTAAAGTGAAGAAGCGAATTAAGCGAAAACCACGCCATGTGTCACCATTCGTAATTGACAATTTCAGAGAGGTCGTCAACTAAAAATATACACTTAGGAAAGGACACTAAGAAGTAGGCGCTACCGATGTTGATGATGTGATGTGAAACTGAAAATTGAAAAAATGGTTCAATGCAGTTTATTAAAATCAGAACAGATTTTTCAAAAATATATGTTAATTTGGCTACTGGATGGCATCAAAGTTTAGAACATGCATAACAAATTCTTTTATGCTACTTTTTCTAATATATAATTTATATAATTTAACATACGGAACTTTAAACATAAATAAAAAAAACGGTTAAAAGCAACGCCCAGATTTTTTATACAAACTAATACAAGTATGTACCAGAAGTTTTAAAAAAAATTGACTGTGAATATTTGCGCAAATTGAAAATAAATCAATTTTTTTAATGGCAATATATTGCCAACAAAAACAATGGCAAAATTGCACGAATTACACTTCGAATTGCTTCCTCATCAACCTTATAGTCCAGATCTGGCCCCCAGCAACTACTGGCTATTCGCTGATCTCAAAAAAATGCCCGCCGGTAAGAAATTCATCTCAAATGAAGATGTAATTGCTGAAACTAAAGCCTATTTTGAGGTAAAAGACAAACCCTTCTACAAGCACGGCATCCAGAAGTTAGAGAAGCGTTGGAATGATTGTATTGCCCTGGAAGGAGATTATATTGATGAGTAAAATCGATTTTTGACAGAAAAAATTTCTTTTTCTTAATAAGTCACACGATTTATTGAGTGATGTGTTAAATGAACGTGTGTTTGAAAAACACATTAAGCGTTTGCCCGAAACATTTTTATCTTCTGATAGTGTTGCTAGGCCAGGATTCCAAAAAAACGAACAAAACGATCTAATGAAAATAATGAAGCCGAAAAGGCGAGTGTTGAACGGTCACTGCAAGCCTCTTCTTGTATATTACAAGACGGTGAATTGTTGGTTAACAACTATTATGAGTGATAAGGATTGAGGCATGTTACATGGATTAGTAAACAAACAAAATTGTCAGTTGTGCGCCATGGAAAACTCTTAATTTATTGAGAAAACTTTAAAGTTGTTTGCTGGTAAAAAGTGACAGTTAAGTGCAGAAGCTGTGCTTATATGACGATTAAAGACAAAAGTGGCAAAGCAAAAACCGTCAATCAAGCAGCACACTTGCACATCAAGATTATAATGCATATATCGGTTGAGCAGCTAACCAAAAACCGATGAAGTTAAATCTACATACTGATTGAATAGTCTGCGTAATCTTTGCCTACAATATGCATGATTCTGTAATGTATTAATTTGTTATCTGGTTGGAAGAATTAAAAATGTTACAGTTTTTCAATAAAATAATATATTACAAAAAATGTATTGGTTTTAAAAAATGCGCTTTTTAAAAAAATCAACGTGGTATTTTCAGGGTGCATGACAATATTATGCAGTGTGGGTGCATTCACTTGAAAATAGGTGCAATTAACGTAGCTTCTTCCTCTTTTCTATAAATTTTACTCTTTTTCTCTTAAATTCTTATAGTGTAAATAAAATTATATTTTTATAGATATTTTTATTTTATATCTATTATATCTATTGAAATTAAATTATAAACTGAAAAGTTATAATTACAATCTTGAACTGTTCAAACCTTAAACCTTAGGAACGTAAAAAATATAAATATCGTTCTCAAAGTCTTTCACTTAATGCTAACTGTACTTTTTGAAGAATTTCCTTAATAAGTATAATAAGTCTATATTTTTTTTAGAAATTTAAACTTCTTTAATTTGTCTACTTTTATATCATACAATGACTTACGTTCCATTAAAAAGAGTAAGTTTCGCTAACCTTACGTTGTGAACTACTCATCGCTTAAGTGGTTTCAAAAAAGTTGAATTAAAAAAAAAGCTACAATGTTCTGGACCATATGGCCAATTTTTTGGCATAAATTCAAAAAATTTTTTGAAACGGAACTATATTTTAATTAAATATTCTTAAGTAATATACTTTAAAGTATGTATTATTGTTGCTGGTAAAGCTACGCTTTCTTTATAGTCACAAAGAAGCGATATTTAAATTTTTAGAGAATATTCGAATAGCAAAGAAAGAAAAAAAGGACAAACACAACAATTTATTGATGAAGACCACTGATGAAGAGTACTTGGCAATACTCGAAACAGCGTTGTATGGTCAGCCAAATTTCAATAAAATTAAAATAAAATTTTTGTGTTTGTCCTTTCTTTCTTTCTTTGCTATTCGAAAATTCTCTAACAATATACTTTAGTAATAATGAATTGATAAATGTTTACTATATTACCCTTGAGTTTTAATCAATTTTCAAAGTCATAGATCATCTTTGTTGTTGTAGTAAAAAGCTCGCGAAACTTTTACTAAACCTTGTGAGTTTGCGAATTTATAACGTGCGATTAAACCGTAAAACGTAAATGTTAATCATGGAATCCAAGGTACGTTGATTGTAAATGTAATGGTATGTAATGCTTTGTTTAGTCCTAAAACAAAAAAAAAACTATCCAGCATGTCTATGCATTGTGGAGTGAAAATGTAATTATCTTAATTAATTTGATTTATTTTAGTGAAACGAAATATATAAAAAAAGCCTTCTTCATTGCAACCAGTATCTTTAACCCCAAATAAGGCTGTAACATTTTTATTCGAAAATTGTTTGAGCAAAAGCCAATACAACAACATTCAAGAACTAAGTAAAATATTATACATTGTGACCGAAAAGTTTCCGGTCATAAATAAATAAAACGCAAAATTCTTAATCTTCATCAATATTTATTTTATCTCCTTCAAAATATGCTCCATTAGAAGCGATACACAAATGCCAACGTTTCTTCCAATCATCAAAACATTTTTTATAGGCGCTTTCCGGTATGGCTTTGAGTTCCCTCTGCGAATTCTGTTTTACGTCTTCTATGGATTCAAAACGCGTTCCTCTGAGTGGTAATTTGAGGTTGGGAAACAGGAAAAAGTCACACGGTGCAAGATCAGGTGAATACGGTGGCTGTTCGATGGTATTTATTGAATGTTTGGCCTTAAAATCGTTGATAATGTTGAACAAATTGAGGTGAATCGGAACAAGCCGGGCGTTGACACGTCGCATACACAAATTGTCCACCAAAATCAAACGAGCCATCTCACGACCGATGCCTAGCTCTCGTGCTATCTCTCTAACACTCACATGAGGATTTTTGAACACGATTTCCTTTGCCTTTTCAATGTTTTCGTCGGTGGTAGAGGTCGAAGGTCGTCCAGAACGCGGCATGTCTTCGACGGTCGTACGACAGTCCTGAAAGGCTTTGTACCACTCATAAACTTGAGTTTTCGATAAAACTGATTCCCCATAAGCCTTTTGTAGCATTCGCAACGATTCTGCACACGAAATTTCGTTCGAAAAACAAAATTTGATGCAAACTCTTTGTTCAATATTTTTTTCCATTGTTTTTTTCGCAACGCACTACTGAGGTGAACTGGTTTCAACAGCTGCCGTAAACGAACTGTCCGACAGATCGCGCTCATTTTTGGCATAGTAATTAAGGACAGTTCTGCCAAACTACATAAACTTAAAATATCGAAAAATATACAGCGCGCGAATTTTAAATGAGAACCTCCGAAAACCTTTCGGTCACAATGTAAGCACGATATTTAATCACATGCACGACAGTAGAGAATACACAATATAACCGATGTTTTCCAAAGAACAATGGATTCCTCCGATCCTCTTATATATAGCCATATTATAAATAAAATACAGATCAAAACAAAAATAAAACTTTGCACAAGTTTTATAGTGTTATATCTGTATAATTTAGATATTTATTTATTCAAACTAACTCCAAGTTATTATTATTTCACAAGTTCAAAATAACTGACAGAATTAAAATATTAATTGTTCTTTATCTGTCAACTGTCATCTTGGCAGAGTTGCCAACACCTCCCCTTTTGAGATTAAATCTCCAATGCGGTGATTCTAGGGTCTATAACGGTCAACAGGATGTCTAGTACGCCTTGGTCGGGTATACGGAACAACTGCCTCATTGTGCTTCTCAGTTTGAGGGATTGCAATCTCGGTTACTTCGCTGAAAGATTGATCTGGAGTCGAAACCATGTTGTTGTTAGTTATTTCGACCACATCTTTAGGTGTTGTTTCGTAGAGGCCAAATGCATCAACTAAACACTTTTCGTTGGCGATATCTTCGGAAGTACATATTTCTAAAGATAACTCATTTCCTTGATCTTTTCGGTCACGAATTTGATTGGCATGTGCACGAATAAGTTTGCCATTTTGTAAGCGAACATTATAAATGACGTTACCTATGCGTTCGATTATTTTACCTTTTGTCCATTCAAAGTGTTTGTTTTTGAATATGTTGACATAAACGAGCTCTTGTTTTTCGTAAAACTTTGGCTTTGCACCATGCCTTTTGTCAAATTGCGCTTTCATTTTGAGTTGTGTATCGCACTTGTTTTTAAACTTGACATTTGGG